AGAAAAGACAAGAGTTAGAAGGGGCGAGAAGGATGCGGTGTCACATGGGCACTAAAGGAACATCTTGGCCCTATATGTACTGGATTTAAAGTGCTTCTGCTGTTCGATCGTTCTAGGAATGGGGATATAGGAAATGAGACTGGACTGACTATAAATGACCCGAAGACAGGATTACATCCTGGTGACCTTCCAATCTTCACAGTGCCTAAACACACACCACAGGATAATTGTCCCCGTAAATTGCACAGCAGTCTAACTTTTTGATCAAGCAAAAGAGAACACTTTTTTTCCTCTACCTTTCAATATCACCTGACCCCATAGGTAAAGCCAGGTTAATCTCTGGTTCCCTGGTTATTTTTGTTTATTTGTTTCCACACAAGGATTCTCTGTTAGTCCTAGTTCTCCTGGAACACTTTCAGGATACCATGCTGACCTCAAACTCAGAGATCCAGCTGCATTAGCCTCCCAAGTACTGAGATTAATGGTGGACACCACCACAAGCCACAGAAGTTGCTTTCCGTAAATATGTGTTTAATAAAATCACAGATTCTGATGTCTTAGGACAATGTCTTCTGGAACATCATGTTTAATTTATCCTCACATGTTTGAGAAAGACTGCAGGTGAGAACTGACCTCTTGAGGGTCCATAGTCCTCCTTCAGCTGTTCCTCCCTCTCTCCAGGTGCTGCCAGACTCAGGACCACTGCTATGACCAGGTCATGAAGCTGGAAAGCCTCAAATTCCTAATGAGGAACCCCTACACCAGTGCCTACTCTTACTTGTGGTCTGGGAATCACTGCAGTGGTAGGGTTACACTTCAGTACATTTGGACTCTGGATAGGTTTGTAAGGGCACAGAAGTAATGAGGACAGGCATCATTTACTGGTCATTTCCTTGGTCTCATTTAACCTTATAACAGCCTTATCAGGTAGATACTAAATTATAGATGAGGTCACTGATGAGGAAGAGGAGGAAGGCAGGGTCACTTTCTCAAGGTCACCCAGCTTAGAAGTGATGACATTTGGATCTGGAACACAGATCTACATCATTCCATAGCTTTTGTTTAAAAACATTTCAAGATTTTATGTATTTCAGAGGAAAGTATGTCTCTGCCACAACACAGGTGCAGAGGTCTGAGGACAATTTGCAGAAGTCAGTTCTCTCCTTCGATCACATGACTCCTGCGGATAGAACTTGGGTTCAGATAGGCAGCAAGGGTGTTTATTCCCTGAGCCATCTTGCCTGTCCTGTGTTATATTGATTCCATATTGACTAAATAACTGAGAGCTGCATCATTGGCTTTAAGCCAGATACAGGACTAAATACCTATGCAGGACAAGGTTTATCCTTTTCATTTTACAGGTGAGAATTCAGAGGGCTGGGGATATAGCTCAGTTGCTAGAGTGCTTGCCTAGCATGCACTGCACAGAACTCTGGGTTCCACATCCAGAACCCATGAATTAAGTGTGGTGGTGCACACCTGAAACCCTGCACTAGGGAGGTGAAGGCAGGAGGATTGTCTTAAATCATATAATTTTAGAAGTGATAGTTGATATTTGTACCTTTCTAGATTTTAGGATTAAATATCTGTGTTTATTTATTTTTATGTACAGGAATGAGTTTGCACCCCATGTCTTCTTCAGTCACTGTCCACCATGTCTCTAGAGCCTGGGTCTCTCACTAAACATGGAACTCACCTTTAGCCAGCCTGACTGACCAACAAGTTTTGGGCATACATGCTCCCTACTGCCCAATAGAGTTACAGATGCCCCAAGCACATCTTGCCTTTACAAGGGCTCTGGGCATCCTAGGTCAGGCCTGCATGTGCTTTTGGCAACTGCTTTACCAACTGAGCCGTGGGAGCCCACAAAAGTTTCCCAGTTAGATCTGGTCTTGCTGTACACAGCAGGGCTGCATTAGGGGATGGCTGGACCACGTGCATGGTCACCAGGTGTCCTAACTGGTCTGCACTTGGCTGTGCTGGGGGGAGGTCGTTTGCTCCACCCCTTGGCATTCCTTTAAAAGCCTTTGGCAGAGACTATCCGGGCCCGATGGATTAGGATCTAGGTCCTCCTGAGGCTTTCAGGTGTTTTCTGTCTGTCTCTGTCTAGCTATCTTTCTATCTAATATTTCTTGCTGCTCCTGCTCAAGAGTACCCTGTGGAAAAGTGGGGGTGAGATGGCCCCCACACTGTGCCAGCTCCCCAGCCACACAACAAATAATTTTTTTAAATAAATGTGTCCCAACCATTTGGGCACCCAATTCACTTTTGTGTCTTTGACTCTCAACCCTGAGTCTGCACAAATGGCAGGGCTGTTACTCTCTTTTGGTTACAAATCGTAGGGTGCATGATCATGAGCCACACACAAGTTCCTTTCTTGTTTCTCTGCAGACAAAACAACCCCTGTGAGGACTTCATCTGTAACTGTGACCACCAGGCTGCCATCTGCTTCTACAACACTCCATACACCAAGCATTACAAAAGCATTCACTGTTAGACTTGTCACCTCAGTGACTGGCACACCTTCCCTGCCTGCCTGGTTGTGTTCACTACACACTGTGACCTCTATAAAGCACCAATAGAAAGAACTTGGCTTTTGAGACTGTATTCTCTGTCCATCAAACATTTCTAAATCCTCAGAGAACATCATTTCATCTAGTCCTGGAAGCTGAAGATTATGGAAGAGATATCACCATTAGGGGAGCACCTTGAAGAGTGGGTGATGATCCCAGCCATGCCTTTTATCCCAGCACTCTGTGGTGGAGAGCAAGAGGCAGAAGCAGAGGAGGCTGAGGCAGGCAGATCTCTTGAGTTCAAGGCCAACCAGGTTTAAAAAATCAACGTCCAGGAAAACCAGGACTATTGCAGCAAGAAATCTTCTCTGGAAAACCAAAAAAAAAAAAAGGAGGAGGAGAAGAGGTGGAGGAGAAGGGAACAGAAAGAGAAGGGTTTTGACAGATGAGGCAAGGCAAAGAACAGGAAGAGAGGAAAGGGACAGAGGGGAAAGAGAAGACAGAGAGGTAAGAGGGGGGAGAAGAGAGAAAGAGGTGTCACATGGTCATTAAAGGAACATCTTGTCCCCCAAAATACTGGACTCAAAGCACTTCTGCTGAGCACTCACCACAGGAAGTTGGATATAGGAAACCAAACTGGACTGAGAGTAAATGACCTGAATGCAGGATTACATCCTGGTGACTTTCCAATCTTGACTGTGCCTAAACACATGCCACATGATAGTTGTCTCTCTAAAGTACACAGCAGAATAAGGTTTTGAACAAACAAAACAGAACACATCATCTTCTCTAACTTTCTCTATCACGGAACCCTGTAGATATAGGCAGAATAATCTCTGGTGTCCTGGTCAACCAGATTTAGGAAAAATATTTCTCTTTGGTTCCAGGCTATGTGGTTCTCAGTCTCTCTTTTCCTTTAGTGAACAGCTGCCCAGTCCTCTGCATTTCCACCTCCAACCCCATCCCCACTCCTGCACAAATGCCATGTCTCACCCCACACAAGGTCAGTTCTGGTGAGCAATAGGTGCAGCTAGAGCCACCTGGGCAGGCGCAGTGACCTGTAGTAGCTGGTAGTGAGTGTTCAGGGTCTTGCTGGAAGGATCAGAGACCTTGAGCAAGGAGACAAGCAACTCAACTCATCACCTACTTGTTATCCAGGTAAGAGGTCAGAAGTGGGGAGAAGGAGGTGCTGGGTTACTGGGTACATGACTGATGGTCAAACGCAGAGGCAAGAGGGCATTGGGCCAGGAGACACTGTTCGACAGCCACCATGTTTTTGCTGAGATTTGAACTCTGGTTCTGAGGCAGAGTAGAAAGTGCTCTTAAGTGCTGAGCCATCTCTCCAGCCCCTGCAATGGTTGATTGTCAACTTCACACACTGGGTAGGAGAGCCTCAGCTGAAGGACTGGCTGCATCACATCGGTCTGTAGGCAAATCTTTGGGCATTTGCTTTCTTTCTTCTTTTTCATTTTTTTAGATTTTGGTTTCTGGTTTTTTGAGACAGGATTTCTTAGTCTATCTATGGCGGTCCTGCAACTCACTTTGTAGACCAGTCTGGCCTCAAATTCAGGGATTCACCTACCTCTGCTTCTGAGTGCTGACATTAAAGGTGTGCACCACCACCACCACCTGCTACATTCCTGGTTCTTTTTTTTTCCATTTTTTTTATTATTATTTTACAACACCATTCAGTTCAACATAATAGCCACAGATTCCCCTGTTCTCCCCCTCTCGCCCCCCTCCCCCCAACCCACCCCCTATTCCCACCTCCCCCAGATCAAGGTCTCCCCCGAGGACCGGGATTGACCTGGTAGACTCAGTCCAGGCAGGTCCATTCCCTGCCTCCCAGACCGAGCCAAGTGTCCCTGCATAAGTCCCAGGATTCAAATAGCCAACTCATGCAACGAGCCTAGGACCCGGCACCAAGTGCCATTCCTGGTTCTTAAATGGAGTTTGAGGATACTAAGATGTAGCCTATGATGCAAGCCTGTAGACGTGAGTTTGATTCCTTAAAGGTAGAAGGAGAGACCTGACTCCATCGAGTTGTCCTCTGCCCTCCACATGTGATCACAAGGACTGTCTCTCTGTCTCTCTCTGTCTCTGTCTTCCTGACACCAACCCACCCCCACATGCAAACCCACACATTAATTAGTTAAATAATTAAAGATTGAATTTGTAATTATATCTACCTTAAAGGCTATGTCAGTTCCTTTGGACAGACTTTGCCCTTAGTTTATACAGTTAACATGAAGTATTGTAGGGCCAGCTACTCCTCCTGGGGACCACATACCAATATCTGCATCCCTGAGACCCAAGCCCAGGAGCAATGTCTATATCTTCTTATGACATCAGAGCATCCATAGGGGAGGGACTTGGCACTTTGCCAGTCACTGCACTTGAGATGATCGGGATGTTGAACCAGCCCTTTCTCTGCCTCTGTGACAGCACCGATTCAGGCTCTATCACCATCTACGGCAACTCTGCCAGTCAGGGCTGTCTGTGAGGGTGCACATATTCTACTTCTGTGCTACACACACAGTAGTCACAGGCCCTGTGTGCTGACTGGACATTGCCAGAGCACAGCTACAGGACTATAAAGACAAGTCATTTGAGTCCTCCTCTCACTCAAGATGAAAATCTTTCTGCTGGTTGCTCTGCACACAGGTAGGACCCTTGTCCCCTCTGAGTGCCCCCATCTTCCTTGTCTTCAATGCCTAGCGTTGCTGGTCATGCCTCAAATTTTGGTTTGGGGTTCCTGTTGGGGACTAGCAGCCTGTGGATTGGAGTTCCAATCTCACCCCATGTCCACAACGGTGGACACCTTTATTCTCTAGGTCTGAACTCAGACAATCCCTTGCTAAAGTCCACTACATTCACCTACCAAAGCAAAGAAAGACCCTTCTGAATCTGCCATAAGCCCTGGGATTCATTAACCTGTATTGTAGGTACCCTTTAATTGGATTTTCTTATAATTTTAAAAAATATTTTATTTTACTTTATGTACTTGAGTGTTTTGCCTGCACATGTGTATCTGTGATCTGTGTGTGAGCAGTGTCTACAGAGGCAAGAGGAGGGGTCTGATCCTCAGAACTAGGGTCACAGACAGTTGGGAGCTGCCATGTGGTTCTGGAACCGAGACTGGGTCTTATGCAAGTACAGCAAGTGCTCCTGAGTGTAGAGCCACCTCTCCAGTCCTGATGATTGTTTTATTTCCCTGATCTTATGATGTGGCTCAGGATGCCCTCCAACTCAACATTATGTCCAGACTTGAAAACTTACTGCCTCACCTTCCAAGTGTTAGGATTGCATACATGCCACACTTGCTTCTGCAACTTTTTTTTTCATGTTTTTCTAAACATGGTTCTCATAGTAATCATGGCTGTCCTGGAACACACTCTATAGATCAGGCTGGCTATGATCGCAGATACCCATCTGTCTCTAGCTCCAGAGTGCTGGGATTAAAGTCCTGTGACACCGTCCCCTGGTAACTTTGAACTTCTTATCCACCTGCCTCAGACCCAGAGAGCTGGGATTACACAGTGTGTGTACTACTGTACCTGGCTTCTCCTATATTTTAATGGTGAACAAGTATCCCACTGCAGACTGAATCCTGGCTTATTTAACAACTCCTCAGCTGATGAACAGTTTGTATTTCAAATGCTAATATTACAATGATGATCTGATCATTATCTTTGTCTATGAGCTCTGCATGGCCATACAACAGATTCCTTCTCATTCTTCCAGTGTAAAACAATGAGCATGTGTTGGCTGCTTCTCTGGCTCAAGGTCTCAGCTAGAACTGTGATGAATCCCACTGCTGGCTAAGGCTAGGGTTTCACCTAGGCTTGAGTAGGGGTGGGGCAGCTTTCAAACTCAAGAACTGTTTGGATTGTTGGGTTATTGAACTAAGAGTTCCTTTTGTCCCTGGCTGCTGACTGGAGAGTGTCCTCAAGCTCTTCAACCCAGAGACCCCAGGGCAGCTCACAGTGTGGGGGCTGTCTGTCCTGACAGTGAGAAATGAGCAGGCAAGCAAGGCAAAAGGCAATGTCTATAGAACTTAGTCCTTGGGAGTCAGCCCAGTCTGGTACAGTGGTGTTCATTTATAATCCTACCACTGGGAAGGCTGAGGCCAGAGGTTTGCCACAGAAGTCAGAGGCTAGCCAGGGTTACTGAGCATCTCTCTCCTCAAACAAGAAGACACTTTCCTATTAGGCCTGGTGACCTGAGTTTGGTCTCCAAGACCTACATAGTGGAGGGAGAAAACCAGGTCCCTAAAGCTGTGCTCTGACCACCTCATGTGTAGCATGAAATTTTGAGTGGTTCCAAGTGCTTGCTTTTTCCTGTGTTGGGGTAAGTATACACACACACACACACACACACACACACACACACACACACACACACACTGCACACACTGTTCTATTCACTGCCCTCCTCATGCAGCAGCTGGTAGGACTCAGGAGGAAGCTAGCAGGCAGGCATCAGATCCCTGGTAAGGACAAGTGGGATTGATGGCGTTGCTGTGCTTTCTTGCACCAGGTGCTACTGCACACAGCATCAGCCCTCAGGCTCTGTGGCAGTTCAGCAATGCGTTCAAGTGCACCTTTAGTCCGATTGATCCCTTTCCAGGGTACAGTTACTATGGCTGCTACTGTGGCTTCTTGAGATTCATCCACCCAGATGAAGAGTTAGACAGGTGAGTGATCCACTTGGTGGGACACTGGAGGGTCTGGTGTGGTGTGGGGACAGGACACAAGCAGAGCATCTCATGAGGCATGAATAGGTGACATGCATATTCACCAAACATCATATATGTGGTTTTGTTTATTATTATTTATTTTTCTTTGTCTTGTTTCCATAAAGTGGTTCTCTGTAGCAGTAGGTGTCCTTGAACTCTCTCTAGAACATGCCAACCTTGAATTCAGAGATCTTCCATTCTCTGATTCCTGAGTGCTAAGATTAAAGGTGTGCATCACCACCCCTAGCATGTATTTTCCCCTCTTGTCATGCAAAGAAATCTGTCCAAGAGGATTCTGTACCTAGTGGTCGCTGAGAGCAGAATGTGTGAGGTGTAAATAGTGGGCAATGCTGCCCTCAGTCGTGAGAGTAGGGTACTGGCCAACCATCATAGCTCCCATCAGATTGTCAGCCTTGGCTTTAAAAAGTCATCAAAAGTACAGAGTGGATAATTTCACTGTACTCATAGAGCTGTGTTCAAAAATCACTTTTTTGGAGACAGGATGCCACTTCTATATCCTGGCTGATCTCAAACTCAGAGATCCATCTGCCTCTGCCCCCCATGTACTGGGAAATGGTAGACACCATCACACTCCACAGAAGTTGCTTTCAATAAATATATGCTTAATAGAAAGCACAGACTCTCAAGTCTCAGGACCATTTCTTCTGGCCATCCTGTTAAATAATCCTCACATGTTTCAGAAAGACTGTAGGTGACAACTGACCTCCTGTGGGTCCATACTCCTTCCTCAGCTGTTCCTTCCTCTCTCCAGGTGCTGCAGGACTCGTGACAACTGCCTTGCTCAGGTTACTAATCTGGACAACTGTGCATTCCTCATAAGGAACCTCTACACCAGCTCCTACTCATACTCATGTTCTGGGAATGATGTCACCTACAGTGGTAGGTTTACCCTATGGGTTCTCTGAATTCTGTTTATTCTTGGGTATCTTTGCAAGGGGCAGAAGTAACAAGGACAGTGACCACTTAGCAGTCATTTACTTGGTCCCATTGGACATCACAACAGCTTATCAGGTAGATACTAAATTATGAATGAGGTCTGATGCGGTAATCTGATTAATCTTTTTCAATTAAAAAAAAGAGTCACACAATGGAGTAAGAACCAGAACATCAGTGAAGAAGGAACAGCCGCCAGCTGCTTCCTACCTCTTCCATTCCTCCTTCCAAAAGGCTGAGATCCTCTTTCAGCCATGCCTTGCTACTTCCTGTCTCCACTCTGTCTAGAGTCCTCCATACTTCTCTGGTTAGCTAGTGGCTATCTCTGCCCTCTGACTCCAAGCAAGTTTTATTTGTTAGAACACAATCAAAATATTACACAACATTAGCTTCTTTTTGTTTAAACAAAAGGAAAGGTGTTTAACTAACATAGTAAAACTATATACAATAAGTACAGTAACTATATACAAATATATACAGGCAAGAATTACATTAACCACGTCCAATCCATTTGCTTTTGCCTAATTAAAAGAAAACACTCCATTATCTGTCCTATCTTGGTGAGTCCAAAGTCTTGTACCTAATTCATTTTCTACCCTAACTTGCATTACCAACCCCCAAAAATCATTTTATGTCTCTCCACCTTATACACTTTACATCTATTTTGCGAGGTGAATTTGTTAAGAAGGAAAACTATAACTGTCCAGTCTTCTACTCCTTCAGGGACCTGAGAAGGAAATATTACCCCAGTAAACAGGAAATGCAGAGCAAACAACTAAGGAATGAGAAAAACAGTTCCCTGAGATTCCTCTGCAACCTTGGGAATTCCAAAATCAGCCTAATCATGCACTAGGGACAGGTCCCAGTCCCATTGGCTTGGCGCCCCCTAAACAGTTTGAGACAAACAACTGTCTCACTTATCCAGAGGGCCTAGTCCAGTATAATGGTGACTCCTCAGCTATTGGTTCACAGTTCATATGTTTCCACTAGTTTGGCTAGTTGTCTCTGTACTTTTTCCAGTCATGGTCTCAATATCTCTTGCTCATAGAATCCCTCCTCTCTTTCTTGATTGGACTCTTGGAGCTCTGCCTGGGAGCTGGCCATGAATCTCTGCATTTGATTCCATAAGTCATTGGATGAGGGTTCTATGATGTCAGTTAGGGTATTGAGCCATCCAATCAGCAGAATAGGTAAGCTCAGGCACCCTCTTGACCATTTCCAGTAGTCTACGGTGGAGTCATCTTTGTTGATTCCTGGGGACCTCCCTAGTTCTCTGCTTCTCCCTATTGCCATGGTATCTTCATTTATCATGGTATCTCTTTCCTTGTTCTCCCACTCTGTTTCTGATCCAGCTCGAACCTCCCATTCCCCTAAGCTCTTATTCACCTGTCCCTTGCCCTCCATTACTTCACTTCACCCCCAGTTTGCTCATGTAGATCTCATCCATTTCTCCATTGCTGGGTGATCCCTGTGTCTATCCTAGGGTCTTTCAAGCTAGTCTCCCTGGAGCTGTCGGTTGCAGTCTGGTTATCCTTTACTTACATCTAGTATCCACTTATGAGTGAGTAAATACGATATTTGTCTTTCTGAGTCCGGGTTACCTCACTGAGGATGATATTTTCTGGTTCCATTCATTTGCCTGCAAACTTCATGATGTCATTGTTTTTGTACTGCTACATAGTACTCCATTGTGTATATGTGACACATTTTCTTTATCCATTCTTCAGTAGGGGGCATCTAGGTTGTTTCCAGGTTCTGGCTATTAAAAATAATGCTGCTTTGAACATAGTTGAGCATGAATCCTTGTGGTATGATAGAGCATTCCTGGGGTATATGCCTAAGAGTGGTATAGCTGGGTCTTGAGGAAGATTGATTCCCAATTTTCTGAGAAACCGCCATACTGATTTCCAAAGTGGCTGTACAAGTTTGCATTCCCACCAACAGTGGAAGAGTGTTTCCCTTGCTCCACATCCTCTCCAACATAAGCTGTCCTCAGTGTTTTTAATCTTAACAATTCTGACAGGTGTAAGATGGTATCTCAGAGTTGTTTTGACGTGCATCTCCCTGATGACTAAGGATGTTCAGCAACTCCTTAAATGTCTTTCAGCCATTTGAGCTTCTTCTGTTGAGAATTCTCTGTTTAGCTCTATAGCTCAGTTTCAAGAGGTCCCATTTATTAATTGTTGCTCTCAGTGTCTGTGCTACTGGTGTTATATTTAGGAAGTGATCTGTTGTGCCAATGTGTTCAAGACTACTTCCTATTTTCCCTTCTATCAGGTTCAGAGTAACTGGATTTATGTTGAGGTCTTTGATTCACTTGGACTTAAGTTTTGTGCTCAGTGACAGATATGGATCTATTTACAATCTTCTACATGTTGACATCCAGTTATACCAGCACCATTTGTTGAAGATGCTTTCTTTTTTCCACTGTACAGTTTTGGCTTCTTTGTCAAAATTAGGTGTTCATACATGTGCGAATTAATGTCAGGGTCTTCGATTCTGGTGGTCCACATATCAGTTTTTATGTCAGTACCAAGCTGTTTTTATTACTGTAGCTCTATATTAGAGCTTCAAGTTGGGATCTGATGCCGCCAGAGGTTGCTTTATTGTATATAATTGTTTTAGCTATCCTGGGTTTTTTGTTTTTCCATATGAAGTTGAGTATTGTTCTTTCTAGGTCTGTGAAGAATTGTGTTGGGATTTTGATGGGCATTGCATTGAATCTGTAGATTGCTTTTGGTAAGATTACCATTTTTACTAGGTTAATCCTACCTATCCATGAACATGGGAGATCTTTCCATTTTCTGACATCTTCTTCAATTTCTTTCTTCAGAGACTTAATGTTCTTGTCATTACAGGTCCTTCGCTTCCTTATTTAAGGTTACCCCAAGGTATATTTATATTATTTATGGCTATTGTAAAGGGTGATGTTACTATGATTTCTTTATCAGCCCATTTGTCATTTGTATATAGGAGGGCTACTGATTTTTTTGAGTTAGTCCTGTATCCTGCCATATTACCGAAGGTGTTTGTCAGCTATGAGAGTTCCTTGGTCAATTTTTGGGGGTCACTTATGTATACTATCATATCATCTGCAAATAGTGAAAGTTTGATTTCTTCCTTTTGATTTGTATTCCGTTTATCTCCTTTCATTGTCTTATTGCTCTCTCTAGAACTTTAGTACTATATTGAATAAATATGGGGAGAATGGACATTCTTGTCTTGTTCCTGATTTTAGTGGAGTCGCTTAGAGTTTCTCTTCATGTAATTTGATTGTGGCTGTTCACTTGCTGTAAATTGCCTTTAGGTATGTTCCCTGTATTCCTGTTCTCTCTAAGACCTTTATCACGAAGCGATGTTGGATTTTGTCAAAGGCCTTTTCAGCATCTAATGAAATGATCATATGGTTTTTTTCTTTCAATTTGTTTATATGGTGTATTAAATTGACAGCTTTTCATATGTTGAACTAACCTTGCATCTCT